TCCGGCGATTGTAGCTTGGTGCCAGGAGGCGGACCCCTCAGAATCTTGCAGTTGAGCCATCCTGAAGAGAGTGCAACGGTTTAACTGCCTAAGCCAGCGAATGCCTCTTCCTGCAGTGACCCTGCCCCCCCCCAACTGCCCACTGCCACAGATTAGAACCTGCGTCATTTTGTCTGAGCCTTCCCCAGCCAGGATCCTCCTTCTACACTAAATGACCATAAGCCAGCAGCCTCAGATACTGAGGTTTGTATTGAGAGTCTGCCCTGAACATCCCAGGGCTGAAGCTGGCCTGGAAGAAAACCTGCCGTTCCTCTGCTCAATCCTCAGGGGCCCCTTTTTAAGCTGAAGAAAGAAAAGTCTACACTCTTCGAGCCAAGGAGGATGCAGGAGCAGAGACAGGGTGCAGAGAAGCCTTAGCAGTCTACCACATGTGCTCCTGCCCTGAGCCTTTGTCAGCGGCCACCACCACAAACCAGGGGGGAGCTGGGATTTTTGAAACAGAAAGCAGCAATCTGTGGCTTCCCAAAGAGCCTCTTGCCTGGGGTGTCAGGAGGCAGTATAGAGAGACCCAGGAAGACCTGCTCCCTGAAACAAGAACAGGATGGAGAATCAAGCAGGACGCACCCTTCCCTGAGGTTCACATGCTCCTTTATTGCCAGCCCTTTCTGTCCCCAGTGGGGTCCCTTACTGCTCAATAAAATGTTTTTGTGTAACAGATTTCTAGGGTCGCCAGTGCTCAGACTTAGGTCACTACCCCTGCGCTAGGCACTCCTGCCACGCGGGAAAGGTTCCAAAGGTGGAACAGCTCCAGGGGGTGCCAGGGATCAGAGCAAAAACTTGAGAGGCTGGGGATGATGGAGTTTGGGCACAGTCCCTAAAGCATCTCAGTGGTTGAGCTTCTGTGAGAAAGCACATCCCCAGTGTGTGTGTGTGTGTGTGTGTGTGCTGGTGGGAGGGGGTCCCTAGAGGAGGCAGCTGGGGGAGGGCCTGAGGCTGGAAATGGGGAATGGCGTGCAGCCTCTGAGCAAGTGCAGGCACTTAGCCTTTGAGGTTTCTGGGAAAGCTAGAGCCACAGGGGCCACGAGATAAGGCAAGTGTAGCAGCAGAACCCAGGTGCCAGGTCTTCCTCAGAACCTATAGCTCTCCACGAGGCCGGGCCTTCCACGCTGAGGTAGAAGGGATCCTGGCCAGAAGGTCAGCCAGCAGCTCTGGGAGGAAGGTTGCTGCGGTGGGGGCTCTGCTGCCATGGAAACGACTTCATTTCCTTCCACTCAAATAGCCTGTTGACTGGCTTCCTGCTCTGTTGAGTAAAAGGGTCGCTGACTCTCCCCAGAAGGTTGTTCAGTTCACATCCCAGAAGTCCCTCTATTCAGGCCCTGGGGAGGTGTAGTGACTCCTGAGGGCCCTCTTTCCTGAGGCTGGGTGACAGAAGTGGGGGAGGTTCCTGATAGTTCCCAGGTGCTGGTTCCCAGGTGCCCAGAGAATGGTCATGCAGGTTGGGGAGTCAAGTAGGTGGAGAGAGAAGGTCAGGGGCAGAGGGCCCCTTCCTGAATCCAGAGCTCACAACGTTACCCCCCCATTTCCAGAAACTATCTCTTCCCCCACACCAGCCCCCATGGCCCAGTACCGGGAAACCGGGAGCCCAGAGCACTTGTGGCCACAGAGACACTCGCACGCAGCCCTCGGGGTGGACGGGGCCGGCTGCAGGCAGATGGGGACGAGGTGTGCTCCCGGAAGGCCTCAGGCTGAAGGTGGCCCTCTGAGAGAAGCACCCCAGCTTGGACAGGAAGGTTAGAGGTGGGGAGAGCAACTTAGGGCGCCCCCTCGGAGCAGTGGGAGTGGGAAGAGGGGCGGGGGCGGAGGGAACCCGCGATGGGAGGCGAGTGGGCTCTCAGCAGAGGCCAGCTTAGCCCGCGCGAGCTGCCTCTGAGCAGGGGGCGGGAGGGCAGTGCCGCCCTGTGGCTGCCGGGCTTCGCGTATCGCGGCTCTCCGCACACGGGTCGCAGGGTCCTGTGTGCTTGTATCACTTCCACCCCGCCCCCTTCGCGAGGCCGCGCCGCTGGGTGGCCTGAGTCCACGGGCAGAACCCCATCGCCCGCCCCTCTCAGACCCGCCTCTGCCCGCCTACCTGGCCCTGCGCGGCTTGCGGCCCGGGGACCTCGAAGGTCCCCGCGCACTCAGCCAGCGGCCTCTGCTGTGTCTGCTGCTGCGGCTGGTAACCCGTGCAGACCACACCGGGCACCTCCAGCACCCCAAGTCCGCGGGAGCGCACGAGGGCCCTGATGCGGGACTTCCCGCTTGTGGAGGGGTGGCTGCAGTGTGTGCGGGCTGCTGGGGGCCGGTGGGGGCCTAGCCTGGCCCTGGGCAGAGGAGGAGGTCCGGAGCATGCAGAGCTAGTGGGGAGGCTCCCTCACACCACCCCTGGATGTCCTGTCCATCATCTACAGATGCCCTTCCCCTTCTCTGTCATCCCCTCCCTGGTGGGAACCCCTCAGCCCAGGCCGCAGCTGCTCCTAGTATAGTCTGTGTGACAGTGTGAGGTGGGGGACCCCCAGGCTGGCCCAGGCCTGGCAATGTGTCCTGCCTGATCTCAAGACCTAAGGAGCCCACCCATTTGCCTTGACCTCCCTCCAGCCACAACGAGATGCCCCTGGTCCTGAGGCAGTTTTACCACAACGGGCTACAGGATGTTGACCTGCACAATTGCAGCCATGGCCAGACCAGCTTGGACAGGCTGAACGACGGCCTCGGAGGTGCCCAGGTACCAAAGGGACACACAAGGTGCCACCGTGGCTGCTGGGGTATGTGGGGCCCTTTGGGGGCCTCAGAGACCACAGGTTAGTCACATTGGAACTAAGTTACCATAGTGACCTAGAAAGTGCCATGCATGGATGCTGGGGGCTACAGGGGTCACAGTGAGCCAACCTGACGGGCATCCAAGTACCACAGAAAAAACAACGCCTTACATGTGACTTCTGGGCACAGTGAGTGCTGTGCCAGCTGAGGAGGCTATGAGAAGCCCAAGGAGTTCCAAAGCCCAAACTAAGCCTTGGCCTTCCGTCAGTTCTGGTCAGCCTACGTCCCATGCCAGACCCACGAACGGGATGCTGTGCGCCTCACCCTGGAGCAAATTCACCTCATCCGCCTTATGTGTGCCTCCTATTCTGGGCTGGAGCTTGTGACCTCAGTTAAAGGTAGAAGGGGGACTTCCCTGGTAATCCAGAGGTTAAGACTCCACGCTTCCACTGCAGGGGGCTCGGGTTTGATCCCCTGTGGGGGAACTTAGAGCCCTCATGCTGCGCGGCACGGCCAAAAAAACAAACAAAAAAAGGTAAACAGACTGGTGGTGGTAGGTGTGAGGGACTTCAGTAAGCTACCCCTGCCTCTGAAAATGATCATCTGACCTACCTGCCCCCAGCTCTCAACAATAGCCGGAAGTGGGCTTGCTCATTGGTGTGGAGGACGGCCACTCACTGGACAGTAGCCTCTCCATCTTGCACACCTTCTATGCGCTGGGTGTGCACTACGTGACACTCACCCACACCTGCAACACGCCCTGGTGAGCACAGCGCAGATGGTGAGGGCCCAGGGAGGCAGGGATCTGCCCAAGATCACGCTAGGGCCCAAAGCAAGTTTACCCCTGGGATCCGGCCCTGAACCTGGGGTGGGGAATGGAGCTTTGCAGAACAAGACTGAATCCCCAGAAGGGCCCTGCTACTGCCAGGCACAGCCCAGTTTGGGTCTCTCCTCTTGCACCAGGGAGTTGCAGGTGTAGACAGTTCGACAGAACCTATTTCTAGGCTCTTGTAGCCAAGTCACAGCCACCAGTCAGACTGCCTCCTGGGCATCCTGCAGGACGCAGAGCTCAGCAAAGGGTATCCACCCCTTCTACAGCAATGTCAGTCGGCTGACATGCTTTGGCTAGGTAAGGACCCGGGTTTCATACCCTTCCCCACATGAATGTACAGCCCTGCCTGTTTCCTACAGATAAATGCACACAAGGTAAATGCAGCCCTGATGCCCTCTCCCCATCCTGTCCCTGCAGAAGGTGGTGGCAGAAATGAACCGCCTGGGCATGATGGTGGACTTGTCCCATGTCTTGGATGCTGTGGCACAGCGAGCCCTAGAAGTGTCACAGGCACCTGTCATCTTCTCCAACTCAGCTGCCCGGGGTATGTGCAAGAACACTTGGAATGTTCCTGATGATATCCGGCAGCTTCTGGTGAGAGACTGCCCTGGCCCTCAAACCTAAAGCGAGAAATTCAAACCAGGAGCCCTTGAACCTGAGCCTCTTCTCCCTCAATTTCCTCAAACGCCAGGTTAAATATCTTCTGCCCCCAAAACCCACGGTCCACAGCCCCTGAACCCTTGAGCCCTAGGTGGGGGTCTAGGTGGTAAGATACTCCTCCAAACCCGGAAACCCAGGGCCAAGACACCACCCAGACCAGGGCTGCGGCTCCTCCATTCACACGAATCCAAAGAGGAGAAGACTCTGACCTCAAAGCCAGGGCTGAACACCTTCCTCACAGGGGCCGAGAGAGTGAACAGGCAGGTGGCTGTGCTGGGGGCCAAGCTGACGGTCCACCGGTTTGCCCCTGCAGAAGAAGAACGGTGGCATCGTGATGCTGTCCTTGTCTGTGCGGGTGCTGCAGTGCAACCCGTTAGCCAACGTGTCTACTGTGGCAGGTGAGCCTCACCCTGGGCTCTCTGAAATCTCTGATTTGGAGCTGAAGCTGGGTCCAAATTTGGGGAGGACTTCAGAAGAGCCCCAGTGGTTTGACCCACTTGTTGGCAATAGGTACAGGTCCCAAAAACCCAATAATGGACAGTACACAGCACCTTGGTGCCATGTAGAACTGGAGCCACAGAATCAAAACTGCGATACTGATGGGTATCAGGGAGGCTGTCAGACACTGCTTTATGTCAGAAACAGAAAGAAAATATCCACTATCAGAACTGTTGTTTGACTGACTTTTTTTCCGATCTTTCTGACAAAATTCGTGAAGTTGTGAGTACCACAAGCGTCATTACACTTCTGTTCAAGACGTAATCTCTGGCTCACAATCATTGTTTAGATTCTGTATACTGCAGTGTACATGAAGGTCTGTATTAGTCTGGTTGGGCTGTTATAGTGAAACACTATAGACTGAATGACTTAAACAGAAGAAATTTATTTTCTCACAGTTCTGGAGGGTGGAAGTCCAAGGTTAAGGTATTGAATACCATAAGAATTGGTTTGTGGTGAGAACAATCTTCCTGGTTTGCTGATGGCTGTCTTCTTGCGGTGTCCTCACACGGCCTTTCCTCTATGAGCAGAGGGAGAGAGATCTCTGGAATCTATTCCTCTTCTTATAAGGACACCATCAGTCCCTGTCAGATTATTACCCCACCCTTATGACTTCATTTAACTTCAGTTACCTCCCTAAAGGACCTATCTCCTATCTTCTACAGTAAAATTGAGAGGGGCTTCAACATATATTTTTTGTGGGGACACAATTCAGTCCATAACAACATCTTAAGATAGCTTTCTCTGATTTTCAGTCTCTCACTAATACCTTCCTCTTTGTCTAGGAATTATTCAGGTTTCCTTAATTATTTTTTTTTAAATTTTCTTACATTATCCCTTCACTTTAAATGCTCTCTTCACTTCTTAACTGGCATTTCTTGGAAATGAAGGCACCTTTCCTCACAATGTATTGATTACTCTCCCCACTGTAACACAGCGACTTCTCCCATGACTTTCCTGAAATGGTTCCATTCTTTTCATAAAAGTTTAGTCATCAAATCACATGGTTTATTTTCAGTTCCCATAGGATTTTCCCTTTGGGAAAAAACTGACTCCTTTAAATGGTGCTTCTTTTAAAACTACCTTCCTTTATGTTTCATAGCAACCTTATGATTTCTGTTGGCATACCACCTAGCTTCTTTCTGATCATTCTTTTTCTTTTTTTTCAGTTGTTTCTCTCCTCACTCCTTAGCGCTAGATACTACATACAGTTGGCTTTCTTCTCATCTCTTATATACTCTCTCTCTTACTCCAGCAGCTTTGTTTACCATTTAATATATTATCTGCCAGGCACCTTCCATATGTTACCAACATCTCTCTCTCTGTCTTTGTCATTTCAGCCTTCGCTATGCTCTCTGAGCTCTCACAGGGAGATCTATTTAACACAGGAATCTCAGTGGAAAATACTAGTAAGTTATTTCTCTACTAAGTAAAGCCCTTACAGATCACATGGTCCTGATCCATCTTGCAGCCACGTCATCTGGACTATGTGACCTCCGATGTCACAATAGCAGAGGACCAGACCAGAGGGACATTGGCTCCTAATGACCTCAGCTCAGAAGTGATACACTTTATTCTGCTTCTTTGCCAGTGGCCACAACTAATCAAAGGAAAAGAGTCTAACTACAAAGGAGGATGAAAAATGTAGATAAGCACATAGGATATTTGATGAGCACTATCTCGAGGTGACATCACCTCCCATCAAATTTTTATTTCACAGAGAAAACAGACTATAAAGCAAAAACACCCCTAAATAACTTTTTTCTTTACATACAAGTATAGCTTTTCTACATAGTTTATAAATACCTATTCTCACTTCCTCAGTATCTTCCATTCATTTTCCCATCTCATTGGTATTGTTAAGGTTTTCCTCTTTAGCAATTTTATTTTGGCCCCCTCCCATTAAAAAGCTGCCCCCTTCCCATTAAAATTACTCTTGCTCGATGCCAAGTAATTCTCTAGCTACCTTTTCTCTCTTCCTAATTTCACAGTACAGTTTATCAAAAATTGTATTTATTCTCACTGTCTGTATTTTCTTATCTTTATGTACCTCGTGACTCACACAATTTTGCTCTTTTCTTCTTACTTATCTGCACTGGAATTGCATTCACGGATATTTAATTTGTGATTAAATTGAATGAATATTGTTTGGTCATTATGTCACCTTTCAGCAGTATTTGATTTTGTTGATCAAACTTGTCATCTCAGAAAACTCTTCCACCTTAACAAGAGTAGCATCTTAATCTGCTGCTTCTCCCTCCTGCCTCTGGACATCCTTAGCTCTTTCACTGGGCGCTCTCACTTCGCCCTCTCCCAAGAGAGGTGTATTTCTCAGAAGCTCTCTTCTGTCCCTGATAGATGGTCTCATCTACTCTTGTGATTCCAGTCACCATATATATCACAGATCTTGACCTAAAACTTACATATCTCTCTCCTGAGTCTCTTACAAACCTAACTAATTGCCAAGTGAAAAACTCTGCCCAAATATAACATGGACACTTAAAATTAATTATGTGATATTACTGAACGATTAATTTTACCTTCAATACTTACTTCCACTATTCATCTCTCTACATCATTTATACCATGACTATTTGTACAGTTGCCCAAGTTGGATACTGAGGAAACACTGAAGACTCTGGACTCTGACAACACTCAGAATGGGAGAAAATATTTGCAAACGAAGCACCTGACAAGGGATTAATCTCCAAAATATATAAACATAAATAAATTTGTAAAATATATAAGCAACTCATGCAGATCAATATCAAAAAATCACAACCCAGTGAAAAAATGGACGGAAGACCTAAATAGACATTTCTCCAAAGATGGCCAACAAACACATGAAAAGATGCTCAACATCACTAATTATGAGAGAAATGCAAATCAAAACTACAAGGAGGTATCACCTCACACCGGTCAGAATGGTCATCATCAAAAAATCTACAAACAATAAATGCTGGAGAGGATGTGGAGAAAACGGAACCCTCCTACACTGTTGGTGGGAATGTGAATTGGTACAGCCACTATGGAGAACAGTATGGAGGTTCCTTAAAAAACTAAACATAGAACTACCATGTGACTCAGCAATCCCACTTCTGGGCGTATACCTGGAGTAAAGCATAATTCAAAAAGATGCTTGCACCCTAATATTCATTGCAGCTCTATTTACACTAGCCAGGATATTGAAGCAACCTAAATGTCCATCAACAGAGAAATGAATAAAGAGAATGTGGTACATATATACAATGGAATATTACTCAGCCATAATAAGGAATGAAAGAGTGCCATTTGCAGAGACATGGATGGACTTAGAGACTGTCATACAGAGTGAAGTAAGTCAGAAAGAGAAAAACAAATATCGTATAATATCACCTATATGTGGAATCTAGAAAAATGGTACAGATGAACTAATTCGCAAAGCAGAAATAGAGACACAGATGTAGAGAACAAACACATGGATACCAAGGGGGGGAAGGGGGGGATGAATTAGGAGATTTGGATTGACATATACACCACTATGTATAAAATAGATAACTAATGAGAAACTATGGTATAGCACAGGGAAATCTACTCAATGCTCTCTGGTGACCTAAATGGGTAGAAATATTAAAAAGAGGAAATATATGTATAGGTATAACTTTGCTCTACAGCAGAAACTAATACACCATTGTAAAGCAACTATACTTTAATAAAAATTAATTTAAAAAAATAATAAAACTCTGGACTCTGTATAATCATCCCTCACCTTCACAATTAATTCAGTAATCAAGTACTGTCTAACTAAATTCCTACTGTCTCTCAATATTGTATACTGTTATGCAAGCCTCTTGCCACTACTTGGTTCTGAGCTACATTTTCTCTTATTTATGGAACATAAACAGTCTCTTAACTTTTAACAGAATAAATCTTTTAACAGAATAAATATTCACTGAGTACCTACAACACTGGTAAATAAGGACATTGTTCACATGCAGTTTACAATGTAATAGGGGAAATGAACTCTAAAATATAACTATACCTCTCACAGGTAACTGGACAGCCAAGTTTTATAAGAACACATAGAAAGGGAATTTAATCTCTAACGGAAGTCATGAAAAGCCAGAGAGTCAATGTTTATTCTGAAACTTATATGATGAGAGTGCATTAACCAAGGAAGGATTGAATGAGTAAAGAATGATACAAATTGATGACATAACCTGGAGAAAGTTCAGCATTAAGAGAAGTCTAACCCTGAAGTCTACTGAGTATTGCTGAAAATTTATGGAAGAAGGAGATGCTGAGTATAGATAGAGAAACCAGATAAGGGTGGACTAGTAGGCAAGAGCACAGTGCTTGAAGCCTTTTCCCCAAAAGTAAAGAGAAGCTATCAAAGAGCTCTAAGCCGTTGAATGAAATTTAGGTTGCAATGCAGAGAATAAACAAGACAGAAATAATACTGGAGTCAGGGAAAAAGTGAACTTGGATGTTACATCCGAGTAAGAAATGTAAAAGATATGACAATGGACATAGAGAACAATGGACATATGTGTGTGTGTGTGTGTATTTATATTTATATATATATAGTATAATTATGACAACTCTTAGGGATTGTTCCAATCAGAGTTTAAGGGAGAGGAGAAGAGTAAAGAATGACTCTCAGTTTCTTGCTTGGTTAATTGGGGTTAAAACAGTTTGCAATAAAAAAAAATTAGCTTAAGTCATTTAATCATTTTAAGTGCATTCTGAATCCTATACAAATAAGTTTGAGAAATTTAAGAAAATTGTGTTTCTTTAAGTTTTGCATAGCTTTTGTTATGCCATGTGAATTCCCTTCTTTTTCATATGATTAAAGAAAAGTTATGAAAAAAATAAGAGAGAAATGAGAGAAAATAAGATCTTATGAAAAAGTATGAATAATCTTTATCTGTTTTTGTGCTTACTGTAATTTCTTTTTGTTTATCTCTCTATACACATATTCTGAGATATCTTTTCAGACCTGCTGAATCAATCTGTGATGATTAAGTTTAACTAATCACTCAGGCGAACATAAAATTGGTTCATCTACAGGAATAACCAACATAAGAGAGCAGTCATGGTAGTCTCAAAATTAGAGAAGACTTCCCAATTATTCCCATTATGTCAAAGAGAGGATATGAGCAAGTACTTCAAGTATCCGAACTTCCTATGATTAGATTCTGC